CTGGCCCTTGGCTCGTCCTCGGCCCTTCACTTCTGCTGCTGCGGGGGCCACTGCACCGGCTGCTTGATCTGCTGCTGCTGCTGGCAGGGAGCAGGGGCCACCGGCACCTGCCCGGGCACGGTGACCACGGGGCACTGGGGCGGGAGGACCACCACCGGTGTCACATCCTGCACGGCGCTCACTTCGTGGCAGACGACCTCCTCGGAGCCGTGGCAGGGCCGCCCCCGCTCGTTGTGGCAGGAGGAGCTCTCGGTGCTGTGGCAGCCTCTGTCCCCACGGGAGCACATGTCGCGGTTGGTGCGGCGAACCCTGGGAAGGAGAGACCTTTGTCGTTAGGCGCACGAAGGGCAGCGTGCTTTCCCCGCTCTGCGTCGGGTTCAGATCCCCTCAAAGTGTTTACGAGCCGGCTGGGGCTCAGCAGCATTTGCCTGTCTGCCCATCCCCTTTCCCCGGCTTGGGGCTTCGCTCCCGCAACAGCGGATCAGCCCGCACCGTCTGGACACCTTCACCAGCCCCCCAGCAGCCCCGATCTCCCTTTCTGCCAGGCTCCATGGGCCAGTTCCCTGCTCTCCCTGGCTGCACCCCGCGAGCACTCGTGCAAGACGGGCTGGGACGATCTCGGGGCTGCGTAACGGAGGAGCAGACGCGCTGTGGGCTGCCAGTTTACGCTGCACCGGCAAGAGGCGTCTTGGCAAGGGTCTGAAAAACTTGCAGCCTAGAGGGGCCCTGGCACAGCCGGCGAACCTACAGCCAGGGCTGGTGGTATTAGAGCCTTGGCAAAATCTACTCTCGAAGCCAGGTGCTCAGAATGAAGAGACTCCTGTGCCTTCCTCCCTCCTTGTGTCCTCTCTTCCCTCTGTGTCCTGCGGACCTTTGGCTGGCCAGTGCCCAATTTCCTGAGGCATGAGGAAAATCCTATGTGCACATCTAACCCCCCTTCTGGGGAGAGCTGAGATTTCAAGGGGGCAGAAGGTATCCAGGATGCGGCCAGCTGAGCTGAAGGCTGTCGCGCTACTCTGTCCTCTCATAGCTTAAATCTGCCTTCTCGGTTCTTTCCTAAATTTCTTCAAGGACACCTTAATACTTTCAGCTCTGGAAGATCTACATTTTCCAACGGAGCTTAGTAAATGAGTCAGGCTCATAAGTGCAATTAAAATTCCCAGCTTAAACCCAAAGTTTCTTATGACAGATCAGCCTGCTGTCTCCCATTCATTCCCAAATCCCATTCTTTACTTTTTTGTTTCCAGTTTGTCCTTTGGAAACTAGGAATCCTGAGCACTGAAGTAATCAAAATATATCTACATGTGATAAGAACAGTAAGTTTTGCTTCTTAGCAATAGGCACTCTTGAGACCAATTTTGATAGCACAAAATTGCCCCAGCCACTGGGGCAAGAACTTGGCTCTCAATAATCCCAGCACCTGCAGACAGACCCATCTTTGTAAGAGCATAGCTCAGCTCAGTTCAGCAAATTTTCGTAGGAATGAAATAGTAGTGGTGTAGTAGCAACTTACCTTGGCTGTGAAGGCTCTGAAGAAGGAGTGGAGCTGAGTGAATGAGTTGCTCTCCCATCCGAGAACTTTTATACAGTTCCTAACTCTCTTCCTGAAAATGCAATAAACCCCTGGGGAAAAATGACCAACGTATTTACAAAACAGCCACACCTCTAATTATCCACCACCTTCAAAAGCTTATTCAACCTTGTTTCTTTGATTGACTTGTCATACAGTAGATTGTCTTCCTTGTGTTACACAGCTTTAATTGCCACCCTGCCCCACACAGGTTGTAATGCATGAAGAGTGAAAACCGTGTGGGTGGCTTGACTGTCTCACCGTCATGCCAGGATGAGTTTTACATTGCAAAATGGATGGCAAAGGTGGTGCTTTTTTGGGTTTCTATCTTCCTGAAACCTCTTGCACGAAGTCTGGCAGGGAGGAGAGGTCACGATGTCCGGTCACCTCTAACTGCTCTTGGCAGGACCGGGGTCATGCCTGGTGGACAAGAGCCACCACTTTTAGGTCCTCACCATAAAAAATAGCTAGTTTTTAGAAAGTCCTCATCACGTGTCCCCTGAAAGCATCTTTAAAGTTGTCTTCACCCTGTAAGACATCTGCAGGTGCCAGAAGCTTAGCAGCCGAGGGTCCCCTCTCGATCTCCTCTCTCTGACTGTGTCATTTCCCAGAGCAATAAAACCAGGATAATGAAGCCTGTGGCCACTGTGGCAAGCTCCAAGGGCTACGACTGGAAAGTGACCTGTCAAAGCCAGGTAGCGGTACAGGCCACTTTTGGAAGTCTTGGCTTATACCTGTGAATACCCCAAAAATGTAGGGTGGTTTCTCTACCTGTGTCCATCCACTTCAAGCCTGATTTTATAGCCTTTTCGCTGACATCGACATAGTTACCACTAATTTTCATTGCTGACATTTTTCCTGGCCGATACCAAAAAGCCCCGAACAGAATTGCTCTTTTAAAATTTCTGTTTTTCTAATATTTTAATTTACCTGCCTCTGCAGCCGCCGTTGTCCGTGATGGGAAATGCGTGCCTACAGAACCCGCTTGGGCAAACCTTGCATTCATGAGTAAGCTGTGAGTAAAGTGCTAGCTCAGAGACCACGCACCCTTTGCTCACCACGCATCTTGAGCTCAGCCAGCTCTTCCCTGGGGCGGGACGGGTGCACCCTGGGTGCAAGGCAGCGGACTGCTGCAAGCCTGGGGCGCTCGCCCGGCCCTGGTGCAACCAGCGGTGCAACCGTGGCTTTGCAACAGCCCCGGTTTCCCCGTTTCCCTCCCACTAACACCTTGACCGTGCAACTTCGGCAGGGCTCGCTCTGTGTTTTTACCCATTTTGCATCTTAACTCCCCCTCTGCAAACACGGGAGTTACAAGGTTTTGCTGGGCAGAGATCGACCGAACATCTGAAGCAGAAGGGTGGCTCCCACTTGCTATCCCTAAAACAATTTCTTTAGTTTCTGTCCAGAGGCGCCAGTTAGGGACTTTCATCAAGAAGCCAGACTCGTGTTTACCGTTCAGCCCGCCTGTTTACACCCAGCCGAAGCAGAGGGGCCACGGCTCCTGCGAGCACCGACACGCTCGTGGGCTGGAGCCCTGCGTTATCACAGCCCATCAGCCGTGAAGGACGACTCGTTCCTCCCCTGTTGCACAACGAGCGGGAAGGAAATCTGCATGTGCCAGTGCGCATGTACGTGCCGGCGTGTAAAATCCAGCCTCCACCGGCTCCCAGCCGCACGCTGGAGGTGAGCTGCAGCCACCCCGTGTGCCAAGGCAGTGGGATGCAGCCCCAGCTCCTCGAGTTCTGGCTCTGGATGCAAGAGCATCCTCCTTCTCCCCTGGGTTTAGCATAGTATTATATCACCTACCCCGGTTAACATCCAAGCTTGTGGAGTGCTTTTTGACACAAGCCTCCAAGACCCAGCCAGGTGGGACAGTGAATAAGAACAGTGCTTTTAAAGTGTTTTCTATTTTCTTTTTTTTGGGGGGGAAGGGGACTGAAATTTTGGGATGGATTTTGGTCGATTAGTTGAATAGGCAAGAAGTTTTTGAATACTCTGGACTCGGTTTTCTGGGAATTGTTCGAGGTTTCTGAGTTCTTTTGCCGCCTTTGGTGCTCTCAGATGAAGCAGGGAAAATAACAGAAATCAATAATGAAGTGGTAGGTTTTAGAAATATAAGTAGATGCAAATAAATGATAGCGCTGTCAAATTTTAGAATGGAATTTAATATGGCTGGTGACAAAACCTTGCGTAATGTTCCCTGCACCACAGCCTTACAACGTTTTACAGCATGGAAGGTCACTGTTGTGGCACCAAACACAAGGCTAGAGCTCAGAGGATTTTGGTTTTTATAAGTTATGGTGTTTTACAAACATCGGGGCAAAGTTTTCTGGATTTTTATTGAACTGAAAGGGTTAAAAGCCCCACAGGTGGGTGAAAGCAGCAATGGTAAAAAATATTTTACAATGTCATTTTATGGTCTTTTGTCTCCCTGTTAAATGGGCACAGATCTATGGGTGTTTTTTCCTTTGTTACCGGTATTGGAGGAGTCAAAAGCCCCCAGAGAACACTCCCAAAACACCAAACGTTTGGCAAATACCGTGTAAAAACCAGCACTGAATGTTCGAGCCGCCCCCGCGCCGTCCCATCAACACAGCACAGAGGAACCGTCTTCTCCCGGTGCCTAATTTAGGGCCTGATCCTATAAAAAATGTCATGAAGCAGGTTACTGCGAAGAAGCAAACGAGCTTGTTCGAGTTGCCTCATGCCACTGGTGCAAGCATCGGGTTTATGTGCTCCGGCTTACAACATCACCTGCAATCTCTCTGGGGCAGGAACCTGCCGTGTGATTGCTTCCAAGTAAACAACCTTGTACTCCCAAGGTCACGCCGTAAATAATAATCAGTTGGAAATCGCCGGGGAGTTTTGCGTATCCCCTTAGCGTAGCTCGTGGGGTCTGGCCTGCGTGCCCGCGCGGAGGGTCTCGCCGGGGCACAGCGTTCCGTTTGGTGGGAACAGGATGGGGGGAAGCTCTGACTTCAGCAAGAGCAAAATGAAGAGCCTTCTCTTGCTGTTGGAAATTATGGATTTTAATCCTATTAAATTAAAAATTACACCTAATTATGGTTGTAAAATACGTATCAAACATGTTGGAAGATCAATCTTGTGTTGTGAAGCAGACGCCTTGAGTATCTATCTGTATTTTGAGTGAAGGAGCCAGAAATTAAAGAAACCATTCAGATACTGGAATTTCCCACAGGCTATGAAGTTTTATTTTCCAACCCGTGAGCAAAAGGAGATGGAGAGAAGAATCGTTTCCCGTCACCAAAGCGCAAATCACTTTTTCCGGCAGTGCTTGCAGCAATGTGGCTAGCGCAGCCCCGTGAGAGGAATGCGAAGCTCCCTGACCGTAATGGCGCGGTCGGGGAAAAGCTGCTCTGTGGTACGTTCAGGGCACTTTTGCTTGAGCAGAGGTGGCTGCTGGGTCAAGTCACTTCTTTTGGCTGGGGGGCCAGTGGCTAGTCTGCTTGCTCTGGTGGGCCTCGATGTCGGGAACGACCACGGGGCATTTCTGCTGCGTGGCCTGGGAGGACCCACTGCCCCCAGAGCTGAGCTCTGGGCCCGAGCATCCCCCGATGCCATAGCCCAATCCCCCGCTATAGTACCCTGATCTGCCACTGTCCCCACCTGCTGTTAAGGCCTTTTCTCTCGGTGAGGCATCGCATCCGTACTCAAAACCTCCTCCTGCAGTGATGCCCAATTTCCCACTGTGGCAACTGGATCCTCCACCAGCCCCTGAGCTGCCAATGATGTTCTGGCCTGAGTCATCACCGCTGCACCCTATTCCAGCCCCGGTGCCATGGACTGGAACTGTCCCCCCTTCAATGCCCCAGCTAGATGTCCCCCCGCTGTCACCACTGGCTATCACGACAGATCCATCACCACCACATCTGTACCCCCCTGCAACGCTGTAGGTGGACGACGTTGGCATGGGCTGGCAGGACGAAGCTCCCCGGCTGTAGATGACCGAGCCTTCCCCACCACAGAAGAAGGAGCCATGTCCCTGGAGGCTTGAGAAGTCCCCGCTGCAGCATGCTCTGTGGTGCGAGATGTCATTGCTGTAGCCCCTGTTCCGCCGGGCACATCTCCCTCGGAGACAGTGATAAATCTGAAAGAGGAAAAAAAACCCCAGATCTGCACCGTTTTGCTTCATTTTTGCACCATGGCAGGTGGGAAGGTTTCAGGTGGCGTCGTCAGAAAAGCTGTGCCAGGACCTAGGGCAATGCCAGGTTTCATAACCGGGTACTGCCTAGCTGTTCTTCAAATGCAAGAGTATTTTGGTTCTTCCTGGGACAGCTTTTCTCTTGCTTCTCTCCATGGTGTACTTCCAGAGAATCAAAATATATTCTTTTAACATCTAATAATTGCCATGGCTTCCCCCACTCATCTTCACCACTGTAACCGCAGAACTGTAAAAATAGCAAGGATTATCCTTGTTCCTGTTTTTAAACTGTTGCAAAAGTGGTAGATCAAAATTTCCATGCCAGATGATGTTGCTGGCTGTATTATGGCCATCGTCACGCAGCATCCCCAAACATCTTTTACAGAAGGTAATCGGCACAGCCATAGAGGTATGTAACCATGATGAAGTACAGAATAGTCTTGTTATTAAATAATATAAAAAAACGTGTCTCGCACACTGCAAACACGCTCAAAACCGCAAAGACTCTGCAGTCACCGCGTGCTGGTCCCACTACAGACTCGTCTGGGTTTTTAGCCCGCTCAGCCCTATGGCTCCAAGTCCAGTTACTTGACTTCACTTTGCTTCCTAGCAATCTGATCCACACCACAGCAAAACACCGTGCAGATCCCGAGAACTTTGCTATAGATGCTCAGGCAGCGTGGGCACTGCTGCAAGCATGCGTCGAGGTCTCAGGTGAAGTTATCTCCCACGAATATGAAATAATAAAGTCCCAGAAAAGAGCAGACTTACCCTCCTCAGCCATTGGAAACACATTTAGAAGATAAAAGTTGACTGAATGAGGAGCTTTAACAGACGGGAACTTTTATATGGCGTTTAGCATATATGGGAAGTGAGACATCCTAAGGAATGGTAAGGATTTACCTGCCAATCAAACTCTGATTTCAGTGTTTGCTTTGACTCATGCCATCTGATCGATATCTTTCCTTCATGCTGCTGGTTGCGCTGCGTGCGACAGTAATTGCTACTTCTGCTTAATGATCCTATTCCTGTGCTCCTGCCCTGAGCTACGGGGGATTGCTTCGGCCCCCAGTGAGGTGGTGACGCTGGGGGAAACTG